TATATATCATATCGATAAATAAAAGAGAAAGGTTATGCTTAATTTACCATTTTCAGGTGGAGCCTTTTTCAGTGAAGCAGTCAAGGTTGCAACAGCTTTGAGAACAAAAGAAATCTCTGCCATGCGATGACTGAAACATTTGAAAATTGAAACAACACAAATGAATAAACTGATACTAGTAAGAGATCTTGGATTGAAGTTTAAAACAATGTTAAGTATAAAGGTATTTGAAAGAATACTTTATTCTTAAATTCAAACACTTGAAGATTTTGCTAATTAACTTCAACTATAGATTTTCCCTATTTAGGTCAACTTATAAATACAATGTCCAGGCTTTAATTATTACTTATGATTGATAATATAACAAACTCACCGTGGAAGAGGGCACTTCCCACTGAGCCGTTCATCCTCAACATACTTCTTGATTACTTCTTGGAAGCGGTGTAAAAGTGATGTTACTGCTAACTTGTTAACTACACCACCATGTAAAGTACTGCCCTCTAGTGGTTCTGCATCAGCAGTTCCACTTAGGAAGGAGAATTGGAGTAATGTTTCAAAACATGACTTAGCAAATTCTTCTCTCAACTTCCTGCTAGATTCTGTATCTGTAACACAATTAAACTTCAAAACTAACAGAACTTAGTCCCACACATCTTAATATCATCATATCTGTGGTCATACAAATACCATAATGATATCTACAAAGAACTCACTCACCACAAGAAGCAGATCTCAATATCATCACATCCATGATCCTGAGGCTTGGGAAACATTGGTCCTGTGTCTAAAAATACCTTTGCTACTGTACTACATTTGACTATTCCCAATTTATGATTTGTTTTATTTTTCTGTTGTTTCAATACTATTTAATTCAGAAGGCTGTTAAACATTACTATAATGTCCTGGTGCATTTTGATTTCTGGACTGAGAAACTTCAACCATTTTATGTATCATTTTCAAGAATTCTGGAAAATAAAATTATTAATCAAACCCTCACACAGTACATTTAACCAGTTTGCACCACTACTGCTTGAATTATACCAATTTCTTTCAAGGTCATGTACATAAAATAACATTTTACAAAACCTACCAACAGTGGGTGACCCTGTTGCTGAGTGAATTGATCCTTTGTTCAACAATGAGACAATTTTCAAGATAAATTCTTTTGGAATGTGTTTAGCCTGTGGTAGGATCTCTTCTCTGATCAGCTGAACAACCTGGAGATAAAAACACCCTTTCTTTATATACAGACTCAAAATTATCAACACTTAGAATTCTGGTAAGTATTCAAATGTTATACACATGCAGAAAATTGTAAAATATACAACAAATATCAAATATTTCAATGGTTTCCACCACCCCTCACAGCCATTCCATACCACATTTTGACAAATGACAAGGAAGTACAAATCTTAATTTACAATAACAAATAATAACTCATGTCATGCTTACATTAAAAAAGGTTTGATAACTGATTATAAAGCTATACTAAAACAAGATATCTACAGTTTTCTACTTAGATTCCCGACTTATACAACTTTTAATGCCTTTCATGATTTGCATTTCTGCAGGGTCTGCAGTTTTTGTATGAAGCTGAACTTTTAGATGTTGCCTATTCTTTTCATGATCCTGATGACTTACAAAAAAACAACCCTGAATGTCTACCAGATGATTTCTGTGAGTCTTTACTGTGGGAGGTGGACTTTCTGAGGGGCAATGACACCTTCTGTCTCTTTGGATTAGCGTGTTTGAAGTGTAGATTTTTGTCTGAAGTTTCTTTTCTTCAATTTATTTTTGCTCTTGTGTAAAATCAGTCAATGTTTTTGTGTATTCTCCTGTCTTATTGATAGCTGTATCAATCACTAATTGAGTAGCAGAAGCTTTTATTAAATCCTCCTTTTCAACTGTATTTTTCATTTCATCCTTTCAGGTGATCATATACAGATGTTAATGCATCATTTTTCTTCTCTGTTTTTCAGCTAGTTTTTTTCTTTCTCCAATGAAGGTGTCTTTTGTACCATTAAGCTTTCTCTTACTCTTTTCATCTTCAGCTTTGTCATTTCTATTTCTTGTTTTGGTCTCTCTGCATTCTTCTCTGATACTCAAAATAAGTATTCATGACAGCAGATAGCATTTGCTTGGATAAAGGAAGTTTTTCTGGTTTCAGTTGTTTGGGATTTGAAACCTCACAATGTCCTTAGTGATTCTTCATCCATTTATTGCTACTTCACTAAACAATGTTCTTTCTTGTGTTACTATGGAACTGTTAACTGACAATCCACACGTAACAACTACATTCCCAAATTAATGCCGTCTTATCATCTTTTATCAATGTAGGATACTCTGGACAAACAGTTGTCACTGTTTGGGTAAACAAAAATGATCCACACATTTAAAGGAGGACACTTGTAGGGTATCATCTACAGCAAGAACTTTCCATTCCTCTTTTGTCTTCATCACCTCACCATCTGGAATAGAGAGTTTTTGGCAAACATAATTTCATTTAGTCTTGACAGGTTAATTGTTTGTGGATTCAAACATTCTAAACTAGCAAACAGTTCATTCTTTGTAGTTAGTTTCTTCTGAGGATAGGAAGCAACAGCAGCGTAACTGGCTATCATTAAAAACATACACATTTTCTGTTCAGCATATTTTTCTAGTTCTCTCCCTTAACAATGACAATGTCACTATCTGAAATCTGGTTAGACCTATATCTACTACCAACCCCAAACCACCTTCCCCTCAACAACATATACAGTAGCTACTGTCCCAAGTAATATATGTAGGAAAGCTAAGGACCACTTCTTATGTAATTTATTTTGCAATACTTGATAAACCTTACACTAAACTTTTCAACAAACTTACATACAGTGATTTTCATCTATGTTGTTCATCTTTAAAGCAAAAATAAACTTTAAGGAGAGGTAATTTATAATTCATTTTCTAAACTCAGTAGACCTTACTTTACAATCCAGTGCCTCATCACACTGTTGATCTTCACAGACCTTACAATCCAGTGCCTCATCACACTGTTGATCTTCACAGACCTTACAACCCGGTGCCTCATCACACTGTTGATCTTCACAGACCTTACAATCCAGTGCCTCATCACACTGTTGATCTTCACAGACCTTACATTACAATCCAGTGCCTCATCACTGTTGATCTTCACAGACCTTACAATCCAGTGCCTCATCACACTGTTGATCTTCATAGACCTTACAATCCAGTGCCTCATCACACTGTTGATCTTCACAGACCTTACCTTACAATCCAGTGCCTCATCACACTGTTGATCTTCACAGACCTTACCTTACAATCCGTTGCCTCATCACACTGTTGATCTTCATAGACCTTACAATTTAGTGCATCACACTGTTGATCTTCACTAGACCTTACAATCCAGTGCCTCATCACACTGTTGATCTTCATAGACCTTACAATCCAGTGCCTCATCACACTGTTGATCTTCACAGACCTTACCTTACAATCCAGTGCCTCATCACACTGTTGATCTCCACAGACCTTACCTTACAATCCAGTGCCTCATCACACTGTTAATCTTCACAGACCTTACCTTACAATCCAGTGCCTCATCACACTGTTGATCTTCACAGACCTTACCTTACAATCCAGTGCCTCATCACACTGTTGATCTTCAAGACTTTGTGTAGGAGATGCCAAGCTACAAGAGAAATATGCAATATTTGGTCAGTAATTTTGTTTCTGTTAGAATATATAAAGACAAGAAATGAGTACCTGTTAAACAGTCTACAAATTAACAGCCCTGAACACAACTCATTACAGATACAGCTTACCTGTTAGAGAACAAGAAGTCATCAATAGCAGCTCCAAGGTCAGCCCACATCTCTTTGAACTGAGATGCTGAAAGACAGGTTCTTCAGTTAACACTATCTTTAAGATGAACTCAAAACCACAACTTTAAATACTAAATCTTCTGTTATAAAAAATCAGTGTTAAAATTCAATAAAGCAACATTATTATGATTACAGACAATGTGATATCTGTTATATTACAAAACTTTAGTTAAAAATCAAACTGTTAGGATTACAGGTATTATAAACATATCAATATAAAAGTAATAAAATTATCCATCTTCCTAAACAAAATACTGACACTGTAACACGTACATGAAATGTAATTTGTAAGACCCACTTCAAAGCTTGATAACTACTGAACATTTCAATTTAAAATTACCACTTTAAACAACATTAGGTATGTTAATAAATTATTTCTGTTCCAACAAAAAAATATTATAAATATATTAAGTACACTTACAGATTACTGTTATGCTTAATGTTTAACCTTCCACCAAATTAGGTGATGACTAAAGTACACTTACAGATTACTGTTATGTTTAATGGTTAACCTTCCACCAGATTAGGTGATGACTAAAGTACACTTACAGATTACTGTTATGTTTAATGTTTAACCTTCCACCAGATTAGGTGATGACTAAAGTGATGACTAAAGCCACCAGATTAGGCGATGACTAAAGTACACTTACAGGTTACTGTTATGTTTCGTGTTTAAAATACACCAGATTAGGCGATGACTAAAGTACACTTACAGGTTACTGTTATGTTTAATGTTTAACCTTCCACCAAATTAGGTGATGACTAAAGTACACTTACAGGTTATTGTTATGTTTAATGTTTAACCTTCCACCAGATTAGGTGATGACTAAAGTACACTTACAGGTTACTGTTATGTTTAATGTTTAACCTTAAGTAACCTGTAAGTGTA